AAGGACAGGTAATGCTTCTAATCGAAATGAGATGCCCCAAACAATTTCTATCACTTGTGAGATTTTTGACGTTTGGGGCATCGATTTTATGTGACCTTTTCCCTCGTCTTTTGGTAACAAATACATCCTTGTGGCCGTAGACTACGTCTCGAGGTGGGTTGAGGCTCGCTCTCCCCACCAATGATGCAAGACGAGTATGTGGATTTCTGAAAAAGCTGTTTTAATGGTTTGGGACCCCGAGGGCCATTGTTAGCGATCGAGGAGCCCATTTTCAAGTGCAATTCGAGAAGGTCCTCGCTCGCTACGGTGTCACCCACTGGGTATCCATGGCCTACCACCCCCAAACTAGCGGACAAGTCGATCTATCAAATAGGGAGCTAAAACGAATCCTGGAAAAGACCGTGGATCAATCCTGCAAGGATTGGTTGGCAAAGCTCGATGATGCTCTATGGGCATACCACACGGCCTACAAAACACCAATAGGCATCTCGCCTTACCATTTGGTGTATGGAAAAGCGTGCCACTTACCCGTAGTGCTAGAGCACAAAACTTTATGGGCCACAAAGCTTTTGAATATGGACCCTAGTTTATGTGGAAATGAAAGAAAGTTGCAGGTGCTTGAACTTGAGGAGTGGCGTCTCCAAGCCTATGAGAACACCAAGATTTACAAGGAGAGGACGAAGCGCTTGCATGATGTTCGCCTGAAAGGAGGGAAGGATTTCCAGCCACGAGACCAAGTTCTCTTGTACAACTCCCGGTTGAAGTTATTCCCTGGCAAGTTAAGGTCGAAATGGTTGGGCCCGTATGTGATAACACAAGTATTCACATACGGGGTGGTTGAGATCTCCCACCCGGAGGATGGAACTTTCAAAGTGAATGGGCATCGCCGAAGCGTTACCTTGGAGGAGCGGTAGATGGCAATGGGTTGGGTTGGGGCGGGTTTTGTCAAACCTAAACCCATGGGTTTATCCGCCATAAAAACCCGGGGTAAAACCCGTTGGGTTTGAAAAACTCAAACCCAACCCAACCCGCTGGGTATCCGCGGGTTCATGGGTACCCGTGGGTTTTTGTGGTAAAAATTTACAATAACAACTTTCTTTCAAAATAAAAGTTTAACATCAATTTTCTCATACAATTTAATCATACAAAAAAGACCAATCTAGAACATACAAACAAACCGCAAATGATCAATAAAAATTGTTCAAAATTAAAGATAAACATATATAAACAATAAGATTAATTGAAAGCTTCTTCCTCGTCAACTAAGTTTCTTCACTCTCCACTTCATAATATCAACTTCATTCTAAACAATTAGAAAGAACAAATTATACATGTCTCCACAAACATATAGAATATTACTTATTTAAGGAAGATAGATTATTTAGAATATTAAATATACTGGGAAAGTAATTATATGTGTGTGGGCGGGTACCCATGGGGCGGGTTTACCTAAACCCAAACCCAACCCGACCCGTTGAATAGTGTAGCGGGTTTAAACCCGAACCCGGCCCAAAACCCGTCAACACGGGTTTTACCCGCGTTGACCGGGTTGGGTCGGGTAGGTACCCGTGGGTTCGGGTTTTGTTGCCATCCCTAGCGGTAGTGCCACACAAGGAGGTGGTGTTCCTCCAAGATGCATGACCCGGAGTCTCCGTCTAGCTTAAGACGTTAAAGAAGCGCTTGTTGGGAGGCAACCCAACGAAGGTTAGAAAGCTCGAACTACTACTACTATGTATTGTGCTTGTAATAACCTCGCCTCGAGCGAATCGTATTGTGCTTGTGTGTGTTTTTTGTTGTCTCTCCTTGAAGATTCAATTATCCTACCCCGGTTTGATTCTTACATTCACTCACCAAGCCCAAGCGGTAACATCACTCTACCCCTTTCTTACACCATTGAGGGAAATGCCGAGTTTAAGTGTGGGGGGTAGTCTACTAGTGTGCTTGTGTGAGTGAGATGTTGCTTGGAGCCTTTTGTATGCCCAAATTTCAAAAATTTGAGGGCTCCAAGCAACGTTTGCATGTTCAAAGTGACCGGATGGTGGGAAATTCTTGTGTTGGTGGCATTGATCTTGAACTGTGCCTGTGATTGAGCATATCCTATGATGATGAATGAGAAGTTCATTAGGATAGGGCAAGACTTTAGTTCTCAAAGTGTGCATAAATGAATGCATGTCTTGACTTGATCACTTGTTGTTTACAATTGCCATGCATCGTGTTTGTGAATGGGAATAGATGGTTGGGTAACTAGGTAGCCTGTGAGCTTTGAGCCGTTCATTTCTTCCGTTGAGATAGTTCCCTCTTAACACGGTGTGTAGCATCACAAGTTATCACTAGCTAGTATGATGGAGGCACGGGATTAGTCCACGCCCCAAAAGTTGATTGTCCCGAGATGCAACATACCTTAGTCAATCCCTTAGAGCCGTGTGACGCCGTGGGTCGTTCTCAGTTTAGGAGCTTTGTTCGTGTGAGCTTAAAGGTGTTAGTAGAACTACCCCCAAATCCTTTCTTCGTGTCCAAACATGAGTCGCCGGTGTGTCTCGGAACTCTTACCGTTGAGTTTCCATAGAGGTTCTACATAGTATGTTCATGTGTGGTTCTTGCTAGGAGTGCAAAATGGTGTGTAGTGTTGGAGTTAGTTCCTCAAAAAGAGAGCATTGGTCGATCAATGTTTAGGTGGCAAGTGTTTTTACTCTCTAATACCCCCCTCAAAAAGAAAAAGAAAAGAAAAAAAGAAAAGAGAAACAAAATAGAGATAATAAAATGGGGTAAATAAAGTAGAGAGTGCCACGAAAAACCAAAGTACATGCTCTAGAAGGGATTTCTTGGCACCCAAGCCAACGAAACCCCCACATTGTTCAGAACTCCTTCACTACCAAACCTTAAATAACTGGCAAGAGTTGACCGAGGAAGAGTGCTTTAAGGTTGTTCATGATCGCTGATAGTTGGAACGGAGAGATTGGGGTTTTGGACGATGCTAGTGTCCGTTGATTGAAGAGAGGGGTTTTAGTCAAAACCATAGACCCCTCGGTTTAGGTTGAAGATGTAGAACCTCACGTCATGATTGCCAACACCCAAAAAGCCTTTTTCCCATGTCCAAGCCAATCACCAGTCATCTGAACCCGTGTCTAAGGACTCCGGACGAGCTAGTGGTGACGACCATCCCGTGAACTCTAGCATTTAGAGGTTACCGTCGTGGTATTGAGACGATAGAGCCATGAGGTTACGATTGTGCAAATCTTTTGCACCAAAAACGTCCTAACCCCACTGATCTTTAGAGTGAGCGATTCATTCTTGTTTTGCATGTCATATCATACCCGGGTCAGGCCCTTTGTTGCCTTTCCATTTGTTCCTCATACTTGAATTCCATGCATGGTTGGTTGTGGTCGATAAGTGGTTTTATTGAGACTTGCATTTATCCATGAATAAGTTGTGAACTTTTTCGTTTGCCCGTTTTGGTGGCTTTGAATTTCGTTTGTGGTTGATGTCTGTATTGCTTGCAATGGTTCATGTGTTGATTGTCAATAAACATCGAGAATTCCCGCTTTGTGTCCTTTGAGTTGTCCCCAAAGCATTTGTGTAGGTTGAAATATTACCGTGTGTGTGAAATGGTTTGCTTGGGGACAAGCAAACGTCTAAGAGTGGGGGAGTGATTCGGGCCTAATTGCACATATTTTGCCCCCGGTTTACTTAGATGTTTGTGCCAAATTCGCTCATTAGAGGTTGGTTTTAAGCGAGGTTCTTCGTGTTTGAGTGCTTTTCAGGATTTAAGAAGTGGAACCAGCCTTGGAGTTGAAGGATTGGCGAAAAGGATCGAAAATCAGGAGAATAGGTGAAAAAACTCAAGTTCACGGCTAAAGGCAGGAGTTCACGGTCGTGGAAGACTGTGAAGAAGTGGAGTTAACCGTGAAGCGCAAGGCGTCCAGAGCCAACTTGAAGGTTACTAATGCAAGGCGAGTTCATGGTCACTAAGACCGTGAACACAAGCAGTTGCCCGTTAACTGCCGTGATCGAAGTGGAGCGTTTTGGCACAAGGCGTGAGTTCTCGGACACATTTGAGGGTTCATGGTCGTGAACTCAGCACTTCTCATGTTTAAAAGTTGAGCTACAAGGAAAGAGAAAGGGGGGAGCCACTTTTGTGAGAGAAACACTTCTTCTGCATTTTAGTGAGAGAAAAATAGGTTAGGGCTTGGCTTCAAAGGAGGTTTTAGGAAGATTTCCCCACGGAAATCCCAGCTCAAGGTTGAAGAAGAGAGGAGGCATCCCCAAAAGATGGTTTCCACCTTTTCTCCTTTGTTCTTCCCACTTCTTCCATGGAGTAGTCCTCCTCCCACTTGGGTGTAGTGGAACCCTAAACCCTACCATGTAGTTTTCTTGTATTTGGTTTGAATGATTGATATTGAGTATTGTTCAATTTAATGTTTGAGGTATTTTTCACCATGATTTTGCCTTCTTGTGCTTAGCAACTTAGGGGTTGTGCATATTTTGTGCTTAGCATCCTAGGGTTTGTGCATAATTATGCTTATCACCCCTAAGTTTGTGCATTTAGGTGCTAGTAATCTAATTTGCCAACTTAGCCTAGTTTAGAGAGTAAAATCCCCCTTTTTAAGGGATACTCAATCAAGTTGGTTTTCCTTCCTCTTTCCAAACCACCTAAACTAGGTTGAGTTAGGGTAAACCTCAATATTGAATTGAACAAGTCGATTAATCGTGGTTAAACCGTCCGACCTTAGAGTTGAGTGAGGAAATAAGCCGATTACCGATTGTCTAAACCGAGAGGGTCGAGTGACACGACCTTTCATTTTCACCTCTGTATAGCAATCGAGACTGTTGTCTGCGACTAATACACTTTCCTTTGCGGTTCACGATTAGCGTGCCTAAGGCAATCGTTCCAACCCGCGTAGCATGGTAGCGGTTTAGGGGAAGCGAAACCCAAGTGACTTTCCCACAAAATAAGTAGTCAAACTAAATTACTTTTTCTTCTTTCATTTCACTTCGAAAACCTTTAAACCAAAGTTTTATCGCTAGATAATGATTTCAACAACTGAAGTAGGGGTAGACGGACCGGCCTGGGTTGATATATAGATACTTGCCCTATACTATGCCTAATTAGAGTTTAAAAACTTGGACTCTAATTCGGGTTTAATTTTAGTGTAGATTTGAGCGAGTCACCAAGCCAATCGCCAGTCATCTGAACTCGTGTCTAAGACCTCCGGATGAGCTAGTGGTGACAACCATCCCGTGAACTCTAGCATTTAGAGGTTACCGTCGTGGTATTGAGACGATAGGGCCGAGAGGTTACGATTGTGCACATCTTTTGCATCAAAAAGGTCCCGACCCCACTGGTCTTGAGAGTGAGCGATTCATTCTTGCTTTGCATGTCATATCATACCCCGGTGAGGACCTTCATTGCCTTTCCATTTGTTCCTTGGACTTGAATTCCATGCATTGTTTGTTGAGACTTGCATTTATCCATAAATAAGTTGAGAACTTTTCGATTGCCCATTTTGGTGGCTTTGAATGTCGTTTGTGATGGGTGTCGGTATTTCTTGCAACGGTTCAAGTGTTGATTATCAGTAAACATCGAGAATTCCCGCTTCATGTCCTTTGAGTTGTCCCCAAAGCATTTTTGAAGGTTGAAATATTACCAAATTCGGGCATAATTGCTCATATTTTGCCCCCGGTTTGCTTAGATGTTTTTGCCAAATTCGCCCATTAAACAGGTGGAACCAGCCTCAGAGTCGAAGGATTGGTAAAAAGGATCAAAAACCGGGAGAAGTGGTGAAAAAGAGCTAGTTCACGGTCATGCAAGAGCATGAAGAAGTGGAGTTGATCGTGAAGCGCAAGGCGTCCAAAGCCAAGTTGAAGTTACTGACGCAAGGCGAGTTCACGGTCACTAAGACCATAAACACAAGCAGTTGCCCGTGAACTGACGTGATCTATGCAGAGCGTTTTGGCGCGTGGCGTGAGTTCACAGACGCGTTTGATGGTTCACAACCGTGAACTCACCTCTTCTCGGGTTTAAAAGTTGAGCTGCAAGGAGGAGAGAAGGGAGAGCCCAGTTTTGTGAGAGAAACACCTTCTTCAGCATTCTAGTGAGAGAAACATAAACAAAAGAGAAGAAGAGGTTAGGGCTTGGCTTCAAAGGAGATTTTGGGAAGATTTCCACAACGAAATCCCAGCTCAAGGTTGAAGAAGAGAGGAGCCATCCCCAAAAGATGGTTTCCGCCTTTTTCCCTTTTGTTCTTCCCACTTCTTCCATGGAGTAGTCCTCCTTTCACTTGGGTGTAGTGAAACCCTAACTCTACCATGTAGTCTTCTTGTATGTTTTTTGGATGATTGATATTGGGTATTGTTCAATTTAATGTTTGAGGCATTATTCACCATGATTTTTCATGCTTGTGCTTAGCAACTTAGTGGTTGTGCATATTTTGTGCTTAGCATCCCAGGGATTGTGCATAATTGTGCTTAGCACCCCTAAGTTTGTGCATTTTGGTGCTAGTAATCTAATTTGCCAACTTAGCCTAGTTTAGAGAGGAAAATCCCTCTTTTCAAGGGAGACTCAATCGAGTTGGTTTTCCTTCCACTTTCCAAGCAACCTAAACTAGGTTGAGTTACGGAAACCCTCAATAATGAATTGAACAAGCCGAATAATCATGGTTTAACCGTCCGACCTTAGAGTTGAGTGAGGGAGTAAGCCGATTACCGATTGTCTAAACCGAGAGGGTCGAGTGACACCACCTTTCATCCTCACCTCGGTTTAGCATGATCTCTCAATGTCTGGACAAACTGCTCCACGAGAAACCTCAATTGTTTGTTCGGATTTGCCAGTGGAGTGTAGCATGGCTCTGTAGAGTGGCCCGTGAAGACCGCCATGGCTAACTCCTGCTCCGATGGCCCTTCTAATTGTGGGAGAAATTCTTCTTGATAAGGAGATTGTTCTTGAGGTTCCCAAGGGTCTGATTGTTCTCCGTAGTAGGAGGTTTGGTACTTGAACCCGAATCCATAGTCTTCTCCTCCTTGATTGGTCCAGGAAGTCTCGTGGTAATACCACTCGGGAGGTGGTGGATACCCCCAGTGTTTGGAGAAGCCACGAGGATCCATGATTCATATCTCCACCAACAAAACCACCCAAGTGAAAAGCAAGGGTGGAAAGGAAAAACAAAAGAAAGAAAAGCTAAATTAACAAACTCCTGCCTTTCGTAATAATCTAAAAATTCCTCGACAAGACGCCAAAAACTTGATTCGCTAAAGCACAACTCCTAACAATGGCCAAGTGTAACCAATAAAAGGGACTACAGGACAGTGGCACAAGTAATAAATATTGAATCCACGAGTCTATAGAATTACTGTTACTCAACTTCAGTTCATTATCTAGCAAACTAGATTAATGATTGATTTAATAAACTACTCTACTAACTAAACTAAGGCTAAACTACTAATTACAGGTCGGGAACTCACTTAGATATGATTCCCCCTAGCTCCTCAATTAGGTCCAAGTTGTAATTCCTTTTGGTTGTTTTACTGTTGATTAAACTGTGGAAGATCCTAAAATAGTTGGAATCTCTTAAGCTGACCAAGCCCTCTTAGATAGAATATTCGACAAGAGACTAACCTTCACCGGGATAGAATTCTAAGGCAATTCACACAAATCTACACTACTTGGAGTGAATTCCAGTACAAAGCAGTGAATTGACTGACTCTCGTACAATCAATTCACTCCTATCAATTGAAGAAGCTTTATCAACCTAATCAGATTCTATCTCTCATAGGTTAAAGCAGAAGTCAAGAGAATTTGATCAAGATTTAATTGAATCAATATACATGCCTCAATCGAATAAAATCAAACAGTATAGCATCCAAAGATTCAACAAGAAAGATCCTAACACATTGAACTAGGGTTCCTCAGAACCTAAGTGAAGAGAATTTACTCCATAGAGAAGAGAGAGATTGCAGTATAACTTTCCATATCTTCAATCTTCATGTCTAGACTCGTTCCTCGAGCTTCAATGGTGAATAATCCTCCAAAATAGCTCCAAGAATGCTCTAGATCGCCCTCTCTCTTTGGTTTGTCCCTTGGTTGTTTGGGATCCAAAACCCAGCTCTCCCTCTCTAAAATCACAGAAATTAGACTTATACCTGAGCAGGGCAGAAACGTGGTCGGGAACACGGCCGTGTTTAGTCATGCTTGTGTACAGTCCCGCGCGTGCTTTGCATGCCTTCAGCAGTCTTCACAAGCCACGCTCGGCATAAAAAACACTGGCGGGGTGCTGAGTGAAACACGATCATGTTTTTAGTGAAGCCTGCCCGTGTTTTCTCCTGGATTGCCACTGAGAGGTTCTGGAATTCTTTAGTTGAGATTCCTTACTTGTCAAGAACTTTTCATAGTATATCTGTCAATCGAAATGAACTTGGGAAATTACAATATGAACTAGCTGCAGACTAGGGGGGACTCATATCTGGATGACCTTTTGCATACTTGAAACCAGAACATTTCCTACTTTCTGTTTACTTTTTCTTTTGAACACTTCATTCGAACTCAACCGCTACATAATAGATTTGCACGGAGTAACCAGTAGACATAGAACCCGGGTTGACAAATTGAAACCGAACCCTATACTGCATTACTAGTCTGCGATCAATGTAGTCAAAATTGCACATTAAAGATTAAAAACTTACGATTTTACGCTTCTAGATCACCAAAACGCTTCTACATAGAAACACGCTTTTGACTACATTGAATGCAATTACACTTGGTCATAGTTTGGTTGTTGGTTTTAGCGAGTCATCAGCACACTAGTTAGGGAAGTTGATGGTCACACACGTTACTCCACGAGCATTACCTAGGTGGACATCTAGTCCTCAGGGGTACGGTCGCCTCTTCCACAATCTAAACTCCTAAATCATTCATCTAGTCCTAATTAGCCATCATGCACTCACCAGTCTAACCCTAAAACTCCCACCTAGTGTTAACTCAGTTGTAGGCTAGTAGGGAAGAGTTGGGAGACAAACCCCAGCTTAATCAATTATAGGTGAAACATAAAAACTCTAGGTAAACTCAATCACACCAAAAACTCATGAGTAACATAATGGTATTCCCCTATTATCTAAGTTGCAACTAAGCAAATGGAGAACAAACAATCCCACACAAAGAGGTGTCTATGTAAACCCTAGCCTAGAAGACGTCTGGCCTATGCTAAGTACAATCAATCACACTAAGCAAGAGATTTATCCACAAACATCAAATAGACATAGATTATAGGTTAATAACCATTCATACACATGACCCATAAACTACAAACAAGGATTTATCTTTCCTACACAGCCTAAGCGATTCAATTCATAGAGAGAAAGAAAATACAAACTGGAAGAGAGGGAGTGATGGAAACTATCTTCTTCTTGTTTTCACCTTCTCCTTGCTCCTTGCTATGGATTATATCTTCAACTAGGCTCTCACAAGGTGCTTCTCTCTTTAAAGACTGCCCAAAACCCTAATTTTCTCTCTCAAAGTCGGCTCTCCAAAAAAGTGCAGTACCTCTTCTATTTATAGACAATGGAAAGTCGAGGAAGTTCACGACCAAGGGCTGAAAGATCCAGGTCATGATCTATCTGTGTTGTCCCGCGATTGTAAGCATCAAAGAACAATCTTGGCAGGGGATGAGATCATGTCCAATGTTCGCGGCCGCGAACTTGGTCTCGTGGTCGTGATCTTTATTGCGGCTTCGTTTAATGTGGCATGCGATCCTCCTAGCAAAAGTTTTTGTTCTCCATTTGACGCTTCATCCTGAAGTTCTTACCCAAGAGGTCCTCGTTCGCGCTCATGATCTTCCAGCTCTGGGCCGCGATCTCTCGGCTAGACAACACGGACTAGCTTCTCGCTCGGGATCCTGCTTCTTAGGATGCGATCTTGGTGCTTGCTTCTTTTCACTTCTTTTTCTTACACATTAGCCTGTGTTCTCCCCTTTTCCGGTTGTAACGTTGAATGCGAGATAGAATGACATGAAAACACAAAAAGGAAGAAACCTAGGCTACAAATGATGTTTTATAAAACAGTTCATGCTCAGTATGACAATAAAACACCTAATAAATGGAGGCTAAATAACATCTTTTTGAGTGTTATCAACATTCAAGAAATAAAGGAAACAATTGTAACATATTATAGAATGTGGTCCACAAATGTCAATATGGACCAAATCAAAAAGAGAAACAACTATTGGACTTCTTAAATCTAAAGGAAAACATTTGTGTTTAGCAAAATGATATGTTTCGCAATTTTCTATTACATAGTCTTATACCACATGACTAGATTTTTTTATAAAATTTTGTCTCAATGCATAGGATGTCCTAGGTGTGAGACATTATGGTAAAGACCTCTTAACTTGATGGGTTAAGCCAATCCTCCCCGGTAATAAAGTCACGAATTACACATTCTATAATGATTTGAAGATGAAAGAGATGGAAAGTTTTTTCTTAGTTTATTATGAGAAGTAAGATTGAATGTAAAGGAAGGAACATAAATGATGTTTTTTTATAAGGGTGATATAGGTTTACTTTTTGTAGGTAGATACTACTTAAGAGATTCAAACCTTGAACCTCCAGGATCAAGATTAGTGGTATTACCACTAGACCAAACTCTTGTCCGTAAGGGACATAAGGTTACAAGGTAACTTAACTATGTCCATAGAGTAGCTTCGTCCCCTTGACCATTAGGAAAAGTTAAATAAACACCCTTAATTAAATTTTTTATTATTTTGAACCACAAATTTGTTAGCAGAATTAATTTGTGCATGAACCACACAAATCATTGTTCTTCCAATCACTCCCGCATCAACCAAAATCAAGCTCAAGATATTATCAGATTATGTGATTAATGTATTTGTTTGCTTATGTCATTGTGTGTGTATAAATATTATGTAAACTATCAATACAAGGTAAGAAGCTTGACTGGGTTTCCTACACAAAGAATAAGAAATTCCTCCTGTCATCTAACATCCTATCAGAGCCTGAATCTGATTCCTATATAGGAAATCCCAAGAAGAAAAAAAGAAAGAAAAGATTCTGCTGTTAAGTTTCTAAACCATTATTGAGTTCTAACCTTCTGCATTCCTCTGAATTTCTTCACCCTTCTGTCAACCTTTCATCCATATGTTCTTTGAGTCTGCTTCCTAGTTGTTGTTGTTGTTTCCCCTGTGTCAGCTTTGAGTTTGCCTCTCGGCGGTTTTAGTCTACCAAAGTCATTTGAAGAAGAAAAAAATCATTTCCACATATCAAACCACCTCTTTGTTTCCGCTTCCAAACACCTAAAGCAGCCTCTTCCACCAATCTCCTCCATCGCCTTTCAGTCATAGCTTACTTGCTGCCATTCATCATCGGATTTCAGTCGTAGACTCTGTTCTTGGGTAGTCGTTGATCTGTCTTCAAACACCACCGCCTTCGATCCCATTTCTAGACATCCCACCACTACTTCTGTTATGCTTCCTATGCCATCTAGTGTATGGCTCAGCTACAAAGTATCGGCAACCTCTTCTTCCCATGGATTGTTTGCTGGCTTTGTCTTGGCATTGATCAGATTGATGAGTCCCCGTCACCACTGCCGGTCTCTGCCAATCTCGTTTGTCTCTGTTTCCGCTCTATCTAATCGTTGCTGCCTCTCCGTTACATCTACTCTCTCATCTACAAAATAGTCTCACCATCAACACCTGCCTCTACTCCGATCTCCACACCACCGTCGGCCACATCCCACCGGTTAGCCCTCCGCCATCGACCACTCCACCTCTCGCATCTCCTCCGCCATCTCCCCCTGCTCCAAATCATGAACCAATCCCCTTCGTTGATCTATTCTGATATGTTGATTGTCTCACTTCCCTTCTCTATGTCTGTTTCTATTCCAGAAAACCCAAATCCTTAACTTTCGAGTGAAGTCTTGTAACAAATGACCTCAATTTTACAAATTAGAAATACAAGGAGCAATTAATAATTGGGTTAATGGTGAAATGTAATTATCCAGAGGATATAAATAATCTTGCCTGACAGCTGTAACGGATATCTTTGATCGAATAATAGATTTTCCCCCTTTTATTGCTCTCTCTCTCTCTCTCTTCCTGTCTCTCTCTTCTTCTTCAACTTCTTTCCCTTTCTTACTCTTTCTCTGCAACCAAACACCAGCCAAGACATTTGATCTCTCCCAGGGGTGACAAGGTGGTATTATAGCCCGTCTAGGCACCATGACATCAATGGCGAACACAAGGAGAATGATTGACGAGCGTCTCACCAGCTTGATGGAGTCGACAACTCAGGAGCAAGGGGA